CCAGAGAAAGAGAGAGAGAGAGAGAGAAAGAGAGAGAAAAAAAAACAAGCTGCCAGGTCTGAGACTTGAATTGTGTTTGGCCATGTGGGAATCCAGCCCATTAACTACATGATACCTGCCGGCCCCCAGATGAATTATTTGATATGCTGTGTCAAAAAACCTGAAAGTAACTATTTTACCCATATAAAAAAGTAAAATGTATTTTTAAATGTTTAGATGGAAATTGATAGAAACCTTCCAAAATTAACCTAAAGAGAATTTTCTCTTATGTAAGTCAGTTTCTGTGGGTATCAGGACGTAATTGAAAACAATTTAAGGACTTGAAAATACTTTGGAGAGAGCATGAAATAATATTCTAATTAAAATGTTCGGTAATATCCAATTCTAATATGAATGCCTAAATCTGAATTCAGATATCAATGAAATAACTGAGCATCAGCTGGTAATTTAGGGTATCTTTAAAGCAGAAACATGAAATATATTACTGTGTGTGTAATCTGAAATCAATGTAATTTACCTCCTAAAACAACATAAATCAAACTGGCTTAGAGGCTAAATTAGGATTATAACTTTTCAGGCAGGTTAAAAAGAACTCTCAGCCAAGAGATTAGCAATCAATGACCTGCTAACTCCATGAGAGTTGAGTGGAGGATGATACAGGCTTCGTGCAGTTGCCTTCCAGTCCTACTCAACATTCACAGGGCTTTAAGTCAGAGAAAACAGCTGAACGTGAAAACTCACAATGCTCAGAAACATCCTCGCCCTTTAATAATACCTAGGGTTATGAACTTAATAAAAGCAATAACTATGCAAAAAGGACGGGTATTTTTTTATCAACAAGGACAGTTAATCAATGATCCCTAGATAAATATTAATCTGGGCATGACTTCCAAATAATCTCTACAGCCAAGCTGCATACAACATAAGGGTTACATGAGGTCACCGTCCTATTTCTTTTTTTCTTTTTTTCTTTTTTTGAAGAGGTTTTTGCTATAGGGCGCGTGTGCTCGCCAGACAGACAGACAGGGACAGAGAGAGAGAAAGCGAGAAATTACCCTCCAGGGGGGATGGCCACACCACAATCCCTTTTCCTCCGTTCTCCTCTCGGGATCTTGGGCATGCACACACGTGCACCCGGTGTGAGTTTTAAGCCACCGGGTTCGGGACTTGAACTGCGACTACATGGGAGTCCAGCGACAAAGCCATTACATTAACTACTGGTCCCACCGTCCCATTTCTACAACACCCTTTTCTCTGCTACAGCTACAAAGGCCTCTAAATATTCAGGCATATTTTCCAAAAGTCTTCTAGAATATATTTAAATAAAATGCTTTTCTTACTTTTTCCGGGGCCTCTGCAGGAGAAGAGCTAGTGCTGAGAAAAATACCCTGAGCACTGCTCCCAGAGGGAAATTGTCTTTACCCTTTGCAAAAATGTGACTGCCCAAGCTACAGTTCTATAAATCTGCTGTCACAGTGCTTCCTATACATAAGCTTACTCATGTAAGGGCAGATTCTCCACAATGTCCCCTTTTCATTAGACTGAAAGGAGATCTGAGGAAAATCTACATTTCATACATTCTTCTATAAGACTTGTGTGTTCAGGGCCAGCAGGTGGTGTGGTGGTTAGGGGCAGTGGACTCCCACATGGCTGACCAGGGGTCGAGTCTCCGACCTGGTGGCTTGCTCTCTCACTCTGTTCCTCTCTGGTCAAATTAAAATGAATAAATAAATAAATAAATGATGAATAAAGTTACATAAAATATTAAAAAGAGAGAGAGAGAGGGACCAGTAGTTAACGTAATGGCTATGTCACTAGACTCCCACACAGTTGACTGTGGTTCGAGTCCCGGACCCGGTAGCTTAAAACTCACGCCGGGTGCATGTGCGTGCGTGCCCAAGATCCCGAGAGGAGAACGGAGGAGAAGGGACTGCAGTGTGGCCATCCCCCCTGGGGGGGTGATTTCTCACTTTCTGTCTCTCTGTCTCTCTCTGTCTGTCTGGCAAGCGTACGCGCCCTATAGCAAAAACCTCTCAAAAAAAAAAAAAAAAAGAGAGAGAGCGAGCGAGACTTGTGTGTTCAAATGGGGCTAACTAGGCTAATAGGGAATGGTGGTCTTCATGCATTTTCCTGAGATATCCTGGATTCTGAAGGGTATATGTGTGTGCTTTCAGACCACGTAGTCCTCAACTAGGTACAATAACTTATCTGGTACGAGAAAAGTGTAGGTATATCTGAATATCCAAACAGAAAACAAACCTTTCTGAGAATCCCATGGAAGAATATTATTAAAGCATTTCCCCAGCAGCAGAGTAAGAATTACTACCCATCTTTAACATAAACTGGAAAATCAAATAAGGATGTATGGGGTGAGGTCATGGCACAGTGACAGCACAGTGAGTCCACATGGGAGGGTCCTTTGTTTGCATCCTGAGGCCTCTAGGTCCACTCTGGGCACATATGCCTGTGCCCACGATCTTGTTTGGCTGAGGCTGACAGTGGATCATGGCATGGGGGCCCTGTTAGGGGTGCCTGTCTCTCTGTGCTTCTCTTTCACAGTGGAAATAAGCAAAATTTTTTTGAGAGGTTTTTTGCTATAGGGTGTGCGCACTCGCCAGAAAGACAGAGAGACAGAGAGACAGAAAGTGAGAAATCATCCCCCAGGGGGGATGGCCACGCGGCAAATCCCTTCTCCTCCATTCTCCTCTCAGGATCTTGGGCACGCATGCACACGTGCCTGGCATGAGTTTAAGCCACCGGGTCCGGGACTCAAACCACGGTTGACTACATGAGAGTCCAGCGACATAGCCATTATGCTAACTGCTGGTCCCGGAAATAAGCAATTTTTAAAAAATGGTGCTTATAAAAAGAAAGGAAAAAAAAGGATAAGTAAAGATTAAATCATCTCTGGGGATGGTATGACAGGTAGTTTTAAAATTTCTTTTTCATGCACATCAGAGTTTAATTTTTTATTTTGAAGATGTAGAGTTTAAAATTTTTTTTAGAGATTTTTGCCTTACAGCATGTGCACTTGCCAGAGAGAGAGACAGACAGAAACAATGAGAGAGAAAGTAGGAAATTACCCTCTAGGTGCGGAGTGGTGGCCACACTACAATCCCTTCTCTTTCATTCTCCTCCTGGGATCTTGGGCACATACACACATGCATCCAGCGTGAGTTTCAAGTTGCCAAGTCCAGGACTTAAACCACGGTCAGTCATGTGGAGTCCACAACATAACTACTATGCCATCTGCTGGCCCTGACTGTTCACATTTTTAAAGTGAAAAGGAAAATACTAAGTAAATACTCTGTAAAAAATACATGGAATTCCTGAGAGATTTCAGATTTTGTGATCAAGCTCAGATGAAATTAAGTTAAATCTTTAGGATAATACCTGATCCTTCTGAATTCTCATCTCATCAACTTCGCTTTCCGCATACTGAGGATCTCGTGCAGGGTCCTTGATATCTTTTAGCATGTTGATGTTCTGAAATTACAATTGTCCAGTGGTCATTTAATGCCCATAACCCAAGCTCTCCTATGTCTACAATCTGCCTAACAAACCTAGCTCCCATTCCTCAGCCTTCCATTATTTCCAGCTGTTACCATCACTATTGAGGTCTACTTCCCATTCCACGGGCTCCTCTTTCTAAAAAAAAAGAGAGAGAGCGAGCGAGACTTGTGTGTTCAAATGGGGCTAACTAGGCTAATAGGGAATGGTGGTCTTCATGCATTTTCCTGAGATATCCTGGATTCTGAAGGGTATATGTGTGTGCTTTCAGACCACGTAGTCCTCAACTAGGTACAATAACTTATCTGGTACGAGAAAAGTGTAGGTATATCTGAATATCCAAACAGAAAACAAACCTTTCTGAGAATCCCATGGAAGAATATTATTAAAGCATTTCCCCAGCAGCAGAGTAAGAATTACTACCCATCTTTAACATAAACTGGAAAATCAAATAAGGATGTATGGGGTGAGGTCATGGCACAGTGACAGCACAGTGAGTCCACATGGGAGGGTCCTTTGTTTGCATCCTGAGGCCTCTAGGTCCACTCTGGGCACATATGCCTGTGCCCACGATCTTGTTTGGCTGAGGCTGACAGTGGATCATGGCATGGGGGCCCTGTTAGGGGTGCCTGTCTCTCTGTGCTTCTCTTTCACAGTGGAAATAAGCAAAATTTTTTTGAGAGGTTTTTTGCTATAGGGTGTGCGCACTCGCCAGAAAGACAGAGAGACAGAGAGACAGAAAGTGAGAAATCATCCCCCAGGGGGGATGGCCACGCGGCAAATCCCTTCTCCTCCATTCTCCTCTCAGGATCTTGGGCACGCATGCACACGTGCCTGGCATGAGTTTAAGCCACCGGGTCCGGGACTCAAACCACGGTTGACTACATGAGAGTCCAGCGACATAGCCATTATGCTAACTGCTGGTCCCGGAAATAAGCAATTTTTAAAAAATGGTGCTTATAAAAAGAAAGGAAAAAAAAGGATAAGTAAAGATTAAATCATCTCTGGGGATGGTATGACAGGTAGTTTTAAAATTTCTTTTTCATGCACATCAGAGTTTAATTTTTTATTTTGAAGATGTAGAGTTTAAAATTTTTTTTAGAGATTTTTGCCTTACAGCATGTGCACTTGCCAGAGAGAGAGACAGACAGAAACAATGAGAGAGAAAGTAGGAAATTACCCTCTAGGTGCGGAGTGGTGGCCACACTACAATCCCTTCTCTTTCATTCTCCTCCTGGGATCTTGGGCACATACACACATGCATCCAGCGTGAGTTTCAAGTTGCCAAGTCCAGGACTTAAACCACGGTCAGTCATGTGGAGTCCACAACATAACTACTATGCCATCTGCTGGCCCTGACTGTTCACATTTTTAAAGTGAAAAGGAAAATACTAAGTAAATACTCTGTAAAAAATACATGGAATTCCTGAGAGATTTCAGATTTTGTGATCAAGCTCAGATGAAATTAAGTTAAATCTTTAGGATAATACCTGATCCTTCTGAATTCTCATCTCATCAACTTCGCTTTCCGCATACTGAGGATCTCGTGCAGGGTCCTTGATATCTTTTAGCATGTTGATGTTCTGAAATTACAATTGTCCAGTGGTCATTTAATGCCCATAACCCAAGCTCTCCTATGTCTACAATCTGCCTAACAAACCTAGCTCCCATTCCTCAGCCTTCCATTATTTCCAGCTGTTACCATCACTATTGAGGTCTACTTCCCATTCCACGGGCTCCTCTTTCTTCCTTCCCCCTTCAGATGTTGTTTCCCTCTCCTCTCACAGCCAGAGAGCTGAAAGTGCATCTCACTCATCTTCTAACCCCCACAATGCCTTATTTACAATACATTCTTGGTAAATGTTTTAATTGATTTTTGAGCATAAAAGATAAAAACAAAGTTACATAGGCCCTTAATAACATTTTTTTCAAACTACTGAATAGTGCTTAAAATTCTTGCTTTAGAAAAATTCAAAATACAAACCTTTGGTGGAAAGAGCTTTTCATATACTTTTTTCCACAACTCCATTGGTGAATGGGCATGAAGCTTTCCAATGTCATTATCAGGAACAGGAGGAGATCCTAAAATTGGAAGTATTAAACCAAATGACTGCCCTGATTTAAAACATTACAAAGCCCATCAATAAAACAGAAGACACAGAACTTTAACCCTTAGGTCACTCATTTTCCTTCTTCCTATTATCGTCACCATTACAATTTACCCGTACCTCGCAGAGCAAGGTCAATGGAGCAAATTCCAGTACTGGAAGAAAGGAGGCAAGGATAATGGGTAAACTCATTTTTCATTCCCCACACCCTATCCCTGTCCCTACACCTGTATCTGCATCTTATTAACTAGTAATTCCAGTTCTTGGTGTTTAGCCTATAGACACGATTAAGAGATTTCACATCACATTGTTTGTATTAGTAAAACAATGACCACACCCAAAATGACCATCAATAATGGTCAGTGGACACTGAGTTACCATGCATAGCCATGCTTTGAAGCACTGTCCAATAGCTGAAATCACAAATCGATCCATATGTAGTACTAATATAGAAAAAGCACTCAGGCACACTGAATAAAAAAAGACAAGTTTCAAAATGATACAGACTGGTACAATTATGTTAGAGTTTTCCTATATGGACTGCACATGCATGCAGTGTCTACAAAGATGCATCCCAAACTTGCTCCTTACATGTACTATTGTAACTTTTATAAGAATGTCTTTATGCACACTTACATAATTTAATTTAAAAATAAAGAACGTTGCTGCTACTTTCTGGTAATTTTCGATCTATAACCTGAGACTTTTCACTTTCTATTCTCAGCCTCTATACTGTCTCACTGCTGATCCTCCAGGGCCCCTTTACCACTTTGGTGGGAAAGACTGATATATTCATGGATCTTATGGAACTTTGCAGTTTTACCTGTTTTCCTTTGTGTGTTTAGTAAGTTCTATACACTGTTACCACCTTCGTAGGTTTATGTATCCACCAGCACAGCTAAGGTATTGAACAGTTCCTTAACCTAAGGACCCCTTGGGCTGCTCTTTTTTGTTGTTTTTTTTTTTTTTTTTTTTGAGAGGTTTTTGTTATAGGGCACGTGCACTTGCCAGACAGAGAGAGAAAGAGACAGAAAGCGAGAAATCACCCCCCAATGGGGATGGCCATGCCACCATCCCTTCTCCTCTATTCTCCACTCGTTATCTTGAGCACACACACACATGCGCCCAGCGTGAGTTTAAGTCACTGGGTCTGGGACTCGAACTGCGGTCAACTACATGGGAGTCCAGCGACATAGCCATTACGCTAACTGCTGGTCCCGGGTTGCTCTTTTATAGAAACAATCATATCCTTCCCAATAACCTCTGACAATGACTGTCAGTCCTCCAATTCTAAAATTTTTTCATTTATAAAATTTGGAATAGGCCCAGCTGTGGTGATGCAAGCAGTGGGGTGCTACCACATGATGCTAGAGCCATCTGGAGGCCCAGGTTTGGATGCCAGGTCAACCTGGACACATCAGGACTATCCACATAGGCACTCCTGATCCTAATTGGCTGGAGGGAGGATCAGCATGGATCAGTGTGGGAGGATCAACAGTGTGGCAAGACCCTGTTGAAAGTACTCCTCTCTCTGTCAAATGAAAGAAAGAAACTGTATATAACCTTTTCTGATTGGCTTTATCATTCAGTGTAATCCTCTGGAAATTCATCTAAGATATGTGCATCAATAGTTTGATAAAAAGTTTCCTTTTCAGGGCTGGACCTATAGCACAGCAGTTAAACACTGTGTATGGAAAGCCAGTTCCCACATGACTGACTGTGGTTCAATTCCCAGTCCCAGCTGCTTGAAATACACATTGGGTGTATGTGCATTCATGTCAAAATCCTGATTGGATGGAGAAATGGTGGAAAAATTATTCTGGCATGACCACACCCCATTAGAAGGTTCTCTCTTAAAAATTTTGTAATAGAAATAAAGTTTCCTTTTCGTTTTTTTTGTTTGTTTGTTTGGAGAGGTTTTTGCTATAGGGCACGTGTGCTCGCCAGACAGAGAGAGACAGAGAGACAGAAAGTGAAAAATCACCCCCCGGGGGGATGGCCATGCTGCAATCCCCTCTCCTCCACTCTCCTCTCGGGATCTTGGGCACGCATGCACATGCGCCCGGCGTGGGTTTTAAGCCACCAGGTCTGGGACGCGAACCGCGGTCGACTACATGGGAGTCCAGCGACATAGCCATTACGCTAACTGCTGGTTCCCAAAGTTTCCTTTTCATGGCTGAATAGAATTCCATGGTATGGATGTACTATGGTTTGTTTAAGCATTTATCTGTTGAGTGACTTCTGGTTATTTCTGGCTTTGAGCTATTATAAATGAAACTACTATAAATACAGGCATACAGATTTTTATGAAAAAAAGTTTTAACTTTTCTGGGATAAATGCACAATTTCTAAGTCATATGGTTGTTGAATGTTTAGTTTTCTTGTTTGCTTGCTTGTTTGTTGTTTAATGTCATCCATTTCTTTCTCCCATGAATGAGAAAGGGAGCAATAGGTATCCCCAAGAGGGTCCCAGTGTCTATCCACCACAGCCCCAGCCAGCTTCAGATCAAAATCTTAGGGAAATCTCCATATGTGAGCTCAGAACCTTCCTGGGAGGGTCATCAACTCTCAGGGTTGAGTCACCACTGTGCTACCATTTGGCACTCGTTTAATTTATAAGAAACGGTTTTCTAGTGTGGCTGTACCATTTCCATTCCCACAAGAAATTTACGAGTGATCTAGTCTCTTTGCAACCTCATCAGTATTGGTGGTGTCACTATTTTTTATTTTCGCTATTCTGATGAATGTGTAGTGGTACCTCATTGTGGTTTCAGTTTGCATTTCCCTAATGACTACTGACAATAAACCCTTTTCCCTGTGTTTGACACTTCTGTGTCATTTCAGTGAAATCTCTGCTCATATCTTTGCCCCTTTTGTTTTCATTTTTAAGTTTGCTACAGGGTGCATGAAGAGAGATGGCGGGGTAGGGAGGAATGAAAAAGCACCCTCCGACAGAACAGGGTCACACCACAATCCCTTCTCCTCCATTTCTCCCTCCTTTTGGGAATTTTGGGCACACATACACACTTGCCTGGCATGTTACTCAAACAGCTGGTCTGGGACTCAGCCATGCAGCTGGCTTTGCAGGATCTAGCCTCTCAATCACCACATTACAGGCTGGCCTTCTTTTGTCCATTTTCTAATATATATTTTTTAAATCACTGATTTCTTCACATATTTAGCCCTTTGTCAGATATGCAGTTTGCAAATACTTTCTCCCAGATCATAGCATGTTTTTTCATTCTGTTCACATGAACTTTCACAGAGAAAATGTTTCTAATTTTGATGAGGTCGAAGTTCCATGTTTTTAAAATTCAGTAATTATCATTTTCATATTTCAGACTTCCAACTATTCAAAAAGTTCAAAAAAAAAAGGTACATCAGCATTACCTCTCAGTATAAACAATGATTCTCACTGAGTATAATTAAGTTGGTGCTATGATAATTATAAAACTTAGTCTCCATGAACACTCATCAAGCAAAGCTACCTCTGTTCCTTTCATTCCAATTCAATATATATTCTCATTGCAGAGGTTTCTGCATTTGGAGTAAAGTTACCTTTAGCTTGTAAGAGTAATGGAGGATGGGAAATACCAAAAAATCTACTCATTAGAATGTTAAAACCAAATTATGTCACCAAAGGAGTATATGGTATTGCTGGGCCCAGAGATTTTCACAATGAAAATAGTTTCTGTGGGAAGATAAGGGACTTGATACATAAATACTTTTTTTTTTTTAAACTTTCCAAAGGGCATGTACTCTCACTGGAAAGAGAGAGAAAAAGAAAGAGAATAAAAGACAGAGACAAGGAAAGTGAGAAAGCATCTCCTGGGGGGGATGGTGACACTGCAATCCCTTCTCCATTTTTCCTTTCAACATTTTGGGCATACGTGTAGGTACACGCTGCATGTTTTTCAGGCCACCAGTCTGGGACTGGAACAGTGCAGTCAGCCATGTGGGATCTAGCCACCTTAACCACCATGCCACCAGCTGGCCAGAAATGTAAACTCTTAACATCTCTTTTGACTTAGACGTCTATGGAATCTATACATTTAGGAGATATATCCCACTGGACGAGGCAAACTGTTCCTGTAACAAAAAATTAAGGTGCACTTTAATTGGCAGAACTGTGTTTTTTGGTTTGTTCTATCACTTCGATTTTCTTTTTATTTGATCATTGTTTGTAATATGTAGCTCTGAGTTTACTGACCACCCTATGTTCTTGGTTTCTTCTAAAACCCAGGAGCTAAAATTTCGAAGTGCCTGGAAATCAGAAAAGGAAAGGAAATACATGCACAAAGTTTTAATGGTCTAGAGATCAGACGTGAGTCTCTTACATGCTGACAAGCCTTCCATTACAAATACGTCAATGTGATGCGTGCTGCATCAGTACTGGGTATGCAAATAATACATATGAAATAATGGCAATGATAATGACACCAGATGTGGTGGCATGCTGGAGACGAGACAACATGGGGTACGATAAAATCAATAAGCAATTAAAAAAAGACTGAGCGACTTTAATAAGTTCACCAACCTATTTGACTTAAAGAATCCAATCCTGCTGTGATAAACAGTGGTTTATTCTGATCCACACATATCGATTTGCTACATGGAGAAGAAAGATTCTAATTTAGTTTAGCAATCAAATACCCCACCACACTCTACTATAAACATGAGAGTCAAGTTTGATAATCTTGTCACTGATGAGAAAATTGCCTCAGATAAACAAGTGAGTATTAAATGATGTCAAAAATTAAAGCAAAGTATGAATAAAGACTTTACAGGAAAAGTAACCAATTTATATTACCTTAAATCTAAACCAAGAAAAGTATCTAGGCTTAAGAAAGATACATACTAAAATGATCAATTTTGTTTTAAATCAATTTAAGAAACAGAACAAAGGTGACAGTATCATGATTCTAGTCTAAAATAAAGTTTTATATAATATTTTGCTTGTGGAAATTCAGAAATATTTAAACAATATAAAAAGCAAAACTATCCCTTTAAGAACCACCAGCTGGGGGACCAGCAGTTAGCGTAATGGCTATGTCGCTGGACTCCCACGTAGTCGACCACAGTTCAAGTCCCGGACCTGGTGGCTTAAACTCACGCCGGGCGCGTGTGCATGTGTGCCCAAGATCCCGAGAGGAGAATGGAGAAGGGATTGCGGTGTGGCCATCCCCTCTGGGGGGTGATTTCTCACTTTCTGTCTCTCTGTCTGTCTCTGTCTGTCTGGCGAGCACACGTGCCCTATAGCAAAAAACCTCTCCAAAAAAAAAAAAAAAGAACCACCAGCTGGGACTTTTTCCTGGTCAAGACACAAAAGATGGGTGAAAATGAATGATAATCAGATGAAACAATAGTGGCCTCACCAAATTAATTAGTTAAATAAAGAGACATAAATTTTCTTTAACGGTACCTTTTGTCAATGCCGAATGCCAGCTGGTTAATAACTCCACGTATTTTTAGTAACAGAGCTTCTGATTTACTGGTAAACTTAAAAAAAAGGGGGGGTAGGATAAATTGTATACTCTGCTTTCCAATTATAGAAATAGGTAAAATAAATATAGCTTTGAACAAATTCAGACTGGTTTACTATTTTCCCAACAAATACTTATGTTTGAGTAGACAGAACAAAACCTAAGTAAGGAAATGTCAACAAATTTGTTTTAAATTATTTTTCCAACTTCATAAGTGTATGATGTGGAAGAATTTGTGTTCATACACTAATCATTTCAGCTACTCACACAAATGCTCATAGTCACTGTCAAATAAATTTTCAAAAATTCATACATGTATGAGGGCCAGCAGGTGGTGTGGTGGATTTGGGCGCTGGATTCCCACATGGCTGACCATGGTTCGAGTCCTGGACCTAGTGGCTTGCTTTTTCACTTTCCCTTTCTCTCTCTGTCTCTGTCTGGTTAAATAAAATAATATTAGTAACAAATGGAATTAAATAAAAAAATAATTTTAAAAATTCACATATGTATGTGTGTTTATGGTGTATGTGTGCACATGCATGTGTGTGTGTAAACATACTTCTTTTATGATCTAAGAGAAAAAATTCCAAAATACAATTAGATTGGTTAGAAAATAAAATGTATACCTCATAACTTTTTTTTGAGAGGGAGAGGTTTTTGCTATGGGGCACATGCGCTCGCCAGAAACACAGAGAGAGACAGACAGAAAGCGAGAAAGCACCTCTGGGGGGGATGGCCACACCACAATCGCTTCTCCTCCATTTTCTTCTTGGGATCTTGGGCATGCACACACATGTGCCTGACATGAGTTTAAGCCACCGGGTCCGGGACTCGAACCGTGGTTGATTACATGGAGTCCAGTGACATAGCCATTATGCTAAATGCTGGTCCCCTCACAAATAACTTTTACATGTAAGGTGAATTGCTGCCTTCAAAGTAGTCAGTGTGGGAGAAGCAGACTGGTCCAGTGAAACTGATGAAAAAGCATACTCACTTAGATGGTTTTTCAACTTCTCTTTTACATTGCATTAGGAGTCTGAAAAATACACTACTAAATATTCTCAGTGGTGGTATTTAACCAGGAAGACCATAACCAAAACACCTTGGAGAATGAAGTGGGTAGGTACCATTAGTAATTAAGCTGTGATATCTGCTGAAAATCAGAGTATCTGGTTACCCTACAAATCTTCTAAAACTAGATTAGATTTTTGGAGATGCCAAAGTCATTCACAGCCAAATCAAAGTATGAAAGTGGGTCAAAAAACAAACAAACAAACAAACAAAAAGTATGAAAGTGGGAAAAACAACTTTTAACTGAAATTAAATGTAATTAGAAAGCAAAGATATCCATTTTCTGGTTCCAATGACAATTCACAAGATAAGCTTCATTCTGAATTAAGAACAGACTCCAAGGGAAAGTATTCAAAAGAGAACACTCATGTAAATATATAAAATTTCATACATTTATTTTAAATAAAGTGTCGAAATAATTTAATGCTTCTCCTGAAGTAATGTTTACACACACACACACACACATATATATATATGACTTAAATTTTTAAAACATATCTTGCTCTTGCTCTGTTTTTTTTATATTTCCTTTATGGGAAAGGAAAAGATCCTAGTAATAAAAATATTTCATAGAACTTGGGGATGGAAGAATATTAGTTTTCTAACCCAACTTCTCCAACTGCTGCATCGATCACCTCTGAAACAGCCTCCACAAATAACTGTAGGCCTTCTGAACAAAGTCAATGCCTATAAACTCATTATCTCCTAAAATAACTCATTCTACTTTCAGATAATGGTAGTATGACGAAGTTCTTTCTTATTTTGAGTAAACTCTATTGATTTGTTTTTCTTAATTCTAGGAGAGCAATAAAAAAATTTAATCTCTTCTCTATGGAACGGTCCAAGTATTTAAAGAGAGTTGTCATATTCTAGATGATGATACATTGGATCTCATGTATTATCATTTTAAGTCCTCTACTATCCTAATGAACTCCCCTCTGCATCTGATCCTACTTACCAATATTCTTTGTTGTTTTTTAATTTTTTTTTAGATTGCTCATCATATTGAATCAAAATTCCCAAATGAATGTAAAGGATCAAAATAATGTTGAAAAAAATGTTGAATATCATGAAATTCTATAAAGTAATACCCAGTTTTCTCTTTTCAACAGTGTAAGATAGGAGAAGAGAAAAATGGGACTTTGATAACTTTGGCTATGCTCTTCTGGTTTTGGGAAGCTAGAAAGACCTCATGGCTCCTTTAATAGTCCAGAAGTGCTCCATTACCTCTTGGACTCCCTGAACTGAGATGAAGCCCTTCTCAAATCCTTTCCCTGGTACCTGAGCTTCTAGGGTCTTCTGGGCCATGATTAATCCCACGTCTGCTGTATCCTGGGTTGACCTGACTTCATCTAAATTTGTACTCATTAGACCAGACTTGGTCCTGACTGGTCATTTAGGGGGATATGTTCCTAAAGACAGGGACTTCTGTCATCTAACTTTAAACCAAAATTAAATGTGTGGCCTGTTTAGTAGCCAAAACAAGGAACTGTAAGGTCTTTGCCTCTATACTCTGAATAAGTCATTCACCTTAAATTCCCCGTATTTTTCAAAATAGTAAAGAAGTGTATTTTCCAAAATACTCTAAGATAATATGTAAACAAATACAATTCAAACATAAAATGTACTGATTTTAAAGAAAATACATAATGAATATATTTGGAATGTTCTAGAAAGTACAGAAATTGAAAACATATGTTATATGTATTATTTTCAGACATAATATTCTAGCCATGAAGGCAAGGGGCTAGACATGTTGTCTCTAGGTTCCTCTGAGTGCCTTAACTACAAGGAAAAAAGAAACCATTAAATACTTATACAACTGTAAAGAAAGTATTTTTTTAAATAAAAATGCTTTTATATTTTATTGGACCAAAGGATATCCAGCAAAATTTGGGCGTGCTATGAAAGACAATGAGAATAATAGTAACAACAGCCAACACTGAGCAATACTTTTTTTCAAATCATGTGTTAAAGTATTTCACATTCTACCCCTTCTTTTAGTCATACCAACAACTCTATGATAAAGGTATTATTTTTTATCTATTTTACCCTGAAATACAGTGAGATTTGTGACATTAAATGACTTGCCTAATGTCACATGTCTAGTCAATGGTCACCTTGAAATGTGAATCCAATAAGCATCACTTCATCTCTGTAACAATCAGCACTCTTTTTTTTTAAGTCAAAAAAGAACATTGTTAAAGGAACATTGTTTTTTGTTTTTGTTTTTATTTTTGTTTTAAGAGAATATAGTTTCTAATTCGTAAAGGGAAACTAAAAATAAATAAATATCAAATGGTCAGAAAAGTCATGACGCATTTTTTGCATAGAAAAACAGAAAAATGTGTCATGACTTTTCTAACAAGAGAACTGATTGATCTCTTTTAGCTTGATCTCTTTCAGGAATTTATGGATACAAGCATACTAGAACTTTTGCTCCAAAGAAAGGATAGGCCTTCTAGCAGAATGTGTTCTATGGACACATTATCAAACATTCTTTAAGACAAGGCATTTGGCAGTGGGAAAGGAGGGGATGACATGCACTGGTAAAAGCATTTCTTATTTGTAGCTATGCATCAGATTGGTAATTCTTCCATATATGGTACTATTCATTCAAGCCCAAAGGATAGGAAATGCACCAACCATTAGTGATGCTCCGTAATAATGTGCAACAAATCGAAGTGTCTTGCATATTACCTTTCTCTTCTCAGAGTCAAAATCCTGGAGAAAGATGTTATTAAAAAGGGGGAAAAAAAAAACTGAGAAAACTTAAGTATCTATAGCAGGAAGATGCAAATTATTAAATGTAGAGATAGATCTTATTTTTTAAAACCCATCCTGCGGAGTAGGATTCTATTACCTTGATATTTATTTATCTATTGAGAGTTGAACAATAGCTCAGGCCTTCTAGAGCTACAGCTATCAGATCTTGGTTTAACTACTTAGCTCAATGGAATTCAGACATAAGCACACATTTTGTAGTGTGCCAATACCCTAAGGATTCTCTGACAAGTAAAGATAAGGAGAACTAATTTTCTACAGTTTCAATTTAAAAGTTGGGAAGTTAAGTCCTGTCCCTCAGTTACTGGGTTGAAGATTCATTTTTTAAATCTTCTGTCTGACCCCATTCTAACCACTGTATTTATTTTCTTTAACTATCTTCTCTTTTCCAACCTTATCTTCTTTTCCTAAATCTTCTAATAGGTATGATTTCTTAACCTATCCATCCTGCAGCCATTTTTCTTGTTTTATTATTATTTTTTTATCCCCCCTCCCCCATAAAGCATAACCATGTATGCGCAACAAACTCAGAAGTGGAAGAGCTTACCTGAAAAACATCGTATTTGCTTCCAATTATGACCAGAGGTATTGGAAATGGGTCAATAAGTTCACGATCCTGTTAAATATATTTCACTGATTTATTATAATTTTTTTTTTGCTTTGTGCTTGGCAATTTTTATTTCCTGTATCATTTTCAGTCTCTTTATTGATGTTGACTCTGTTTTCTTGATATACAATTTATTCTAATATTTAACTTTCATTTATTAAGCTATTATTTCTTAAGTATCAGGTAAGAAATGGAAATGCCCTGAATTACTATATTTTCCTGTTCTACCCTTTTATTTTTCTTATGTAACATATCATCTTCCTGGTTGTTTCCTCCCCCCTCCTCCCATTTCAACTGCTGAAATAACATTCATACTACACAGATTGGTTTTATTATATTGCCTATGCAAAACACATCCATGTAAACTCTGTCCAACAGAAAATGCTGCTGTTACTTTTTTGGATGATGATATTCATGCTGTGTATAAAGAATGTGTGTTATCATCACAGCAACTTTATAAGTAGTTGTCAGATTATCAAAAGATATTATTATATCTTAGTCGACCGTGGTTTGCGTCCCGGACCCGGTGGCTTAGAACTCACACCGGGCGCGTGTGCGTGCGTGCCCAAGATCCGAGAGGAGAATGGAGAAGGGATTGCGGAGTGACTATCCCCCCTGGGGGATGATTTCTCTCTTTCTGTCTCTATGTCTCTCTCTGTCTGTCTGGCGAGTGCACGCGCCCTATAGCGAAAAAACCTCTCAAAAAAAAAACCAAAAAACTATTACTTTAAAACTCTTTCTTTTGATTAGTATAATATGCCACAACAATCACAGGTGTTTAACAAGGAGACATAAGAAATCTTTTTCCTTGTTTTGCTCTACTGAAGTTTTATTAAATTGCTATAATTTTCCAGTGAACAGGTTCATCTACATCAAATGAATTTCTAGCCATGCATAAAAATCTAATGAAGTTGTTTGTGATGTTATCATTAACTATATGTAGGCTAAGGATTCCAGGAACAATTCTAGTAGCAACTTACTGGATGGTCCTTCTGCATATTACTCCATATCTTCTGTCTCATTTCAGAAGCTGCTTTAGAATTTGTCTTTCCCAGTTTCATCATCACTTTATCTATGTGACCTTTTGTGGCTTGCAACAGATTTTCCATGGTGGGCCAAAGGTCATTAGGTTTTGAAAGATCCAAAACAAGAACAATAGAAAAGGTCCTAAAGAAACAAAAACGTTTTTCAAAAAAGGACTCAGAATAATTACCATTTTGAAACTTTAGTATACTGAAATTGACCTAAGAATAATAATGATAAAGCTTAAGAAAATACAGCATTATTCTAAGACTGAAAAAAAGAAAACTAAAGTTACAAACTTATTTATTCCAATGTTTTCCTTTAGTGATATCTAGTGTTCCAACCAAAAACAGCATTGAAGTTTTTGTTGAATTAAAAAAAAATCCAGTTCAGAGAAGCTGTAAGCTGTTGGCCCAACGATGTGAGGTTCAGATTCAATTTTACTGTGCATTGCAAAGGAGGGAAGCAAAGTACATAACAGGAGCAACAGCAGCAATACAGCAACCAAGGCAAGGAAGAGAAACAGATCTACTGATAAGACCTTGCTAGGAACAACCTGGCTTACATAATCCTTACAATAACCTTTCCGAGAAGATATTACAATTTCCATGTTAGGAAGTGTAAAGCACAGATTTGTAAAACTAGTAGATACAGAACTGGTATTTAGATCTGTAGTTATGTATCTCTGCTATACCATTCTGCCTCTCTGAAAGCACAACTCTGACCGATACACCACTGCTTATCACCACATGTGTATTTCTTCTCAGTTCATGTACATCAAACATAAACTCAGCAATAACAAAAAAAAATGGGGCCAGCTTCTGGTTAAGGCAGTCGGATCCTACATGATCAACTAAGTGGTGAGTCCCAGCCCCAGTGGCTTGAGAAACATGCTAGGTGTGTGTGCAGGTACTGCCCAAAATCCCAGGAGGGAGAAATGGAGAAAAATGGAGACTGACCATCTTCTGTTGGGTGTGTTTTCACTTTCCCTCTCTCTCTCATTCTCTCTCTCTAGCAGCACATGCATAGTCTGGCAAATTAAACAAACAGCTAATTTTTTTTTTTTTTTGAGAAGTTTTTCACTATAGGGCGCGTGTGCTTGCCAGACAGACAGAGAGAGACATAGAGACAGAAAGAGAGAAATCACCCCCCCAGGGGGGATGGTCACGCTATAATCCCTTCTCCTCCATTCTCCTCTCGGGATCTTGGGCACGTATGCACACGCGCCCGGCGTGAGTTTTAAGCCACCAGGTCCGGGACGTGAACCGCAGTTGACTACGTGGGAGTCCAGCGACATAGCCATTACGCTAACTGCTGGTTCCCGAAACAGCTAATTTTTTAAAAATTGGCAAGGATACAGATAGACATTTCTCCAAAGAAGATATACAGAGGGCCAATAAGCACATGGCAAGATGTTTTATATCATTAATTATTAAGGAAATGCAAACCAGAACCACAATGAGACATCACTTCATACCAAGTAGGATAGCTACTGTCAAATAATTTTTAAAATCTGGAAAATAACAAGTGTTGGTGAAAATTGAAAAAATGGAACCCTTATAAATTGCTAGTAAGGACTAAAAGATGGTGCAGCTGCTGTGAAAAATAGTATGGTGGTTCCTCAAAAATTTAAACATAGAAATACCATATGCTCCAGTAATTCCACTTCTGTGTTTATATCCAAAAGAACTGAAAGCAGCCATTTGAACAGATATTTGTACACACATGTTCACAGCAGCATTATTCACAATAGTCAAAGCTGGAAACAACCCAAATGTCCAGGGACAGATTACTGGAAAAACAGAATTTGGTATATACATACAGTGGAGTATTAGTCAGCCTTTTAAATAAAGGAAGTTCTGGGACCAGCAGAAGGTGTAATGGTTACTTTGTTGAACTCCCCCATAGTTGACCATGGTTTGACTCCTGGACTTGGCAGCCTAAAACTCACACTGGGCACATATCTGTGCATGCCCAAAATCCCAAGAGGAGAATGGAGAATGGAGAAGAAGGATTGTAGTGTGGGGAGAATGGAGAAGAAGGGATTGTAGTGTGGCCATCCCCCCTGGGGAGGTGATTTCTTGCTTTCTGTCCCTCTCTGTCTCTCTCTGTCTCTCTGGCGAGTGCACGCACATTATAGCAAAAATCTCTCTAGAATAAAAGGAAGGAAATTCTGGCATGTTACAACATGGATGAACCTTGAAGGTACAGTACTAGTGAAATATGCCAATAACATACTGTATGATCCCAGCCATATGCATATGAGATAACTGAAGTAACCAAACTCAAAGACAGAAAGAAGAGGGAACCAGCAGTTAGCGTAATGGCTATGTCGCTGGACTCCCACGTAGTCGACCGCGGTTTGCGTACCAGACCTGGTGGCTTAAAACTCATGCCGGGCACGTGTGCATGCGTGCCCAAGATCTCGAGAGGAGAATGGAGAAGAAGGGATTGCGGCATGACCATCCTCCCTGGGGGGGTGATTTCTCGCTTTCTGTCTCTATGTCTCTGTCTGTCTGGCGAGCGCACACGCCCTATAGCAAAAAAACTCTCAATAAATAAATAAATAAATAAATAAACTCTTAAACCACAGAAGATACTCTATTAGAAATTATCAAAAATCTGTGGAAATGTTCAATGAGTCCATAATTCTATAAACAGTTATTTCAAAGAGTCCCTAATTCTATAAACAGCATCTAATAGCACTTGGCAATATTATTTTCTTGAACTGCTGGGTTTTGTTCAAAGCAAGGAAATTATGTGTCAAACTAATTCCAGTCAAAAGCACCCTGAGATTAGCAATTACATTAAGAGCGAAATGTTTTCCATGAACTGTTTAACCACTCAGCCACCTTCTTTGGCCCTAGGCCTATGGCTCCCTTCCCCTGTTCATCACATCCCTGATTCTTCCTCTCTTCTAAAGCAGCCTCCAGCTGCCCTAGGGTTTCAGGGAAAGGAAGACCAAAACCTCACAAAATGAGGTATTACAGAAACCATGGAAAGATCTAGATTCCTGCAGACTCTAGAATTTCTACAAGCCATCAGGTCGAAATCCTGTGGAGTCTAGAGAAGGGGAGTGAGGTCAAGTCACAACTCAGGGCCAGGACAGAAGCCAGTCCACAACCCAGAGAAGAGCTGTCTCTTGGTTTTCACCTTCTCAGTCTCAGGCCACATTAACTCCTCCCTACCCTGGCCATCTCTTCTCAACCATCCCACTGAAATTACCCTAATACTAGGGCTGCTTTATTTGTTTCCATTAAAGAGGGTCATGTGGGGGGCCAGTAGGCCGGCAGGTGGCATGGTGATAAAGGCACTGGATTCCCACATGGCCGACCAAAGTTCAAGTCCTGGACCTGGTGGTTTGAGAACCATGTCAGGCATGTGTGCGTTGAATCATTCTAGCCCAGAATCAAAAATGGAGAAGGGATTGCTACATGGCCATTCCCCCAGGGGACGATTTCTCACTTTCCCTTTCTCTGTTTCTCTCTGGAGACTTTATGGGCCTATGGCAAAAGAAAAGAAGAGGAAAGAAAAGAAAAGAACTGTTAAAAAAAAAAAAAAAAAAAAGGAGTACACATGAAAAACTACAAAGCTGTAAAATTCCATGTTCCTGAAAAATGTCATAGAAAAAAGGTGGTTTTTAAGTGAAAAAGCAAGGTCTAGTGTGTATATAAAACATTCTAAATCCAAATCTATACAAAGTGTATTTATAAACACTAAAAACGTTGAGAGAAATGCTTCAACAGATTAACTGTGATTTTTTATGTGATTTTGTTGTTCTTACTTTTTTAAAAACAATATTTTTCCTAAAGTATGAGCATACTTTACTTTTGTAATCCATAAAAGGAATTACATTATAATTCACTAAAAGAAAAAAAAAATCACTGGGTAACATAAGCTAATTCTGGAATAGCAATTGTCCTGTTAACAAGAAATAATCCCATACTCTAAGGATCTTAATGACTGAGATGAAACAAATAATTGCCAAGTCCTTTGTGTTTGGTCCAACAGCAGCAATTGTGTTAAAATATGACAAAAATAAAATATTTCAGACTTAAATGTTTTTTGTTTTTCTTGGCTGAGACTGATTCCCAGGGATATTGTGATAAATGTCACAATTTTCCGCATGTGATTTGGCCAACATGTGAGAGTCATTGTCAGGAAAACACCACTACAGGGTTTTAAAGTTTTCCCTAGGTTCTGTTTCCTTACGGTCAGCAAGTGGAGAGACTTTCTCCTCCAACACGTAGTCTTCCTTTGGATGAAACTTCAGTGATATTAATTAGAATTAAATTCAAAGGTAAATGAACACTATCCAGAGGACAAAATTTCAGAGCGGAATTAACTCACACTGAGCTCAATACTGGAAAAAAATGAAGCTTTTCAAGTTTATTTTTGCTCGTTGCCCAAACACTATGTGACATATTTTTTTGTTTGCAGGCTTGCAAATATGTGACTAAGAGAATGCCAGTCATTACTTAGCACAGGCCAGAAGTTTCATTCCTTTAAAGCCTCTCTGAAAGCATTACAGTTTAAGCACATAGGAAGTGGGCATAAGCCTCAGCTACATAAAACTGTCCTTCACCATTCTGACTCATGAACGCCCACCCATAGTCATCTGCCGACATTACAGTGTACACGGCTCTTCCTGGAGACACTCACTTAGCTCACTTACCGTAAGGTGTTACTTGTGATTGGTATGCTGATCAAGTCCAACAAAGAGGTCCCTCCACCCAGTTCCCAAAAGTGAGCAATATCTTTTGGCTGGGGAAACAAAAAAGTTGTTTTTTTTTTTTTTAATTTTGAAAATTTTGGATTTTTTGAATTTTAAATACTTCTGACACTTCATTAGCACTTGCCAGTAAAAATTATAGATACAAAATACCGTACTCATCAACACTTTGGCAGTCAGAACTTTATCCACTCCCTTCCCCACCCATCAAAATGCACCAAAATATCTATTCTAAAGAACAAAGATGAAACATTAAGAATGGGGCCAGCAGGTGGCATAGTGGTTAAGGCACTGGACTCCCACATGGCCTACCATGGTTTGAGTCCTGGACCTGGCAGCTTGAAAATTATGCTGGGTGCATGTGTGTGTGTGCTCAAAATTTCAGAAGGAGAATTAAGGAGAAGGGATTACGGCATGGCCATCCCTGGCGGGGTGGGGTGGGCGGAAAGGTGGGGTGACTTCTCACTTTCCCTCTCACTGTCTCTCTCTAGCAAGTAAGTGTATGTACCCTATGGCAAACATCTTAAGAAAAAAAGGAAAAAAAAAAAAAACATTAAGAATATAGTCTCTGGGGACCAGCAGATGGTGGTTGACTACATTTCAAGTCTCAGACTTGGTGGCTTGAAACTCACACTGGGCACGTGTGTGTGCCCAAAATCCTGAGAGGAGAATAAAGGAGAAGGAATTGTGACATGACTACATGACCACCCCCCCGGGGCTGATTTCTCACTTTCTGTCTCCATCTCTCTGGAGAGCACATATATCCTACAGCAAGAATCTCTCTCAAAAAAAAAAAAAAAAAAAAAAAAAAGAATATAGTCTCTCTCTGTACAAAAATACCCTAATTCTAGTAATACCTTAACAGAAGACATTAACAGTGCCCCAATTTTGTAAATATCACATGTAGCATACACTTACTCAAATTTTAAATAAAATTAGCCAGTTGATGTGGACCAGCAAGTGACGCAGTGGTTAAGGCACTGGACACTCCCACATGGCCGAACAGGGTTTGAGTCCTAAATCTGGTGGCTTGCTTTCTCACTTCCCATCTTACAACCAATAAACGTATTCAGTCGTATACTTCATAGTTGTGAATTGTTCAGGTGCAGTTTAGCAGATGTGAAGCCAACACAAGCTGAACATGTATTAGCCTTTCTCTCACTCTCACCCTGTCTCTCTCTGGTCAAATTAAAAAATAAATGAATGAATAAATAAAATAAAATAAATAATTATTTTTTAAAAAGCTAAAAATTAGCCAGTTGAATATCTTTGATGTTATTTTTTTGAAAATGTTTATAATTTTAGGCAGAAATGAAATGGTTGAAATGGTTTAGTAAGCTGATAGCTGATAAAATGAATTAGATATACAGATGAGGCACAAGGAAAGGGAATGAACAGATGGCTCTTGGCTGCTGACCAAGATTACCTGAGCAAAAGGATAAGCGATCTGTGTCTGATTCCTCTAGGGCATTGGACAGACAACTGCTGGCAAACGCAAGTGGCAGGTGGGAGGACAAGAGGAGACTAAACAACTGCTTCTCTTTTTATAGGACTCTTAAAATAACAGAGGACCTGAAAGGGTTAGACAGCCAAGCAGATTGGAAATATTGGGTCATCGGAAAGTCATAACATATTTTCCTATGCAAAAATGCATCATGACTTTTCCGACAACCCAATAAAACCACTAATTCTGAGAACCTTCTTAGAGTTCTAGCTAATGGCATCTCTGCTTTTGCCAGGACAATGAAGAAACTTCAGGCCACCGAAATTATGAGCAGCTGAAAAAGTGCTTCCATTAGAACTCTTTGGGCATATTAAATCTGAAAAAGACAGGAAGATTCCAGAATATAAAAAAGTTCCACTTGATAGTATAAAAAAGTTGAAAGAAAAAAAATAGCTGTAAACGAATCACAGCTAAATTTATCTATCTGCTACCATGAACCTGGAAGAGAGAGACGGCCAGTAAAGCAAGTTTTACATGAATGTATTGGGTCACTGGAAGAGTCAAGATGCACGTGCCCTAAGGTAAAAACCTTTTAAAATAAAAAAACGTAAAAAAAAGAAAAACTGTACAATAATGCTACAAAGGAATCTTAGTTCAGAAGTTTTGAGACCTAGCAAATGAGAAGGCTGATACATGTTCAGCTTGTGTTGGCTTCACATCTGCTAAAGTGCACCTGAACGATTCACAACTATGAAGTATATGACTGAATACGTTTATTGGATGTAGGTAAGACGGGAAATGCAAAACAAAGCATTACTGCTCCATCTCTGGGCAGAGCAATATCACTTCAAAAGACACTCACTGTGTTATGGCCTTTTGCTCTTCTTCCATATGTATATTCCAAAGCTAAGGTTGGTTTTGGTGGCTCATCTCTGTTCAATAAAGACAGACAGTATTACTACCATGGGAGGTACTGATTTCTTATGTTATCATCTTTTTTTTTTTTTTTTTAAGAATTATTCTATTGAACTTTTAAATTTAATTCTTTATTTTACTTTGACCAGAGAGGGACAGAGTGAGAGAGTAAGTGAGTAAGAGAAAGAAAGAAAGAGAGGGAAAGTGAGAAAGCAAGCTGCCAGGTCTAGGACTTAGTTGGCCATGTGGGAATCCAGCACCCTTAACCACCACGCCACTCCTGGCCCATTATGTTATCATCTTAACTGATTCATTTTTACTTTCTCTTAAAAACTTTAATCTACTAGTAGAGAACTTACCTGTATAATAGCATTGAGGTAAAAAATGATTTTTTTAAATGTGCATAAGAAATAAATAAATGGGCCAGCAGGTGGTGGGGAGGTTAAGGTGGCTAGATCTCACATGGTCAGCTACACGGTTCAAGTTACAGATGCAGCAGCTTTAAAATTATGCCCGGCACATGTGTATGCATGCCCAAAATACTGAAAGGAGAATGGAGAGAAAGGATTGTGGCAGGGCCATCCCCCTACGGGGTGATTTCTCACTTTCCCTCTCTGTCTGGTGAGCACATGAACCCATAGGAAACTAAAAGAAAAAGGAACTAGTTTTTAAAAAACCATCTTTGTGGATTTTAGGGGCAGCAGCACAAATGAACCATGGCACCTGTAGGATATAACAGCCCTTAGAAGCACTGCTGGGTGGGTGGGGAAGGTGTTGGGGCTGACAGTGTTGATGGCCAGGCACGAGCTTAAGCTCTTCACATCCAAGCCACATGGGAAGCGCTGACATCAGGTTTATGCTCAGACTTGATTTGGAGCACTGGGAGCCTACCAACTGTCAATTTAATGGGAACCTCAGTGAAAGATGTTAATGCAGTTCTGTATGTTAAATCGTGGCTTGGACATGAGCTCATTTAGTGACAGTTTGCAAACAAACAAATTACATCAACAAGTCCTAAAAAATCCATAAATGAAATAGAAAATATTAAAATGATTTGATGAATGATCTACATTATGACTTATATTGCTAGGTAAGCAGTTTTATGGTATATATCTATTTTTTAACTACTTAATTTTTTTATGGTGGTAAAGAATACAAAATAAAACTTGCCATCTTAACCATTTTAAAATGTACAGTTCAGTAGTATTAAGCACATTCACACTGCTGTGCAACCAACCTCCTAAATGTTTTCATCTTGTAAAACTGAAACTCCATACCCATTAAACAGCTCCCCACTTTCCTCTCCCTCTGGTGTCTGGAAACCACCATTCTAGTTTTGTTTTTTATGAGTTTGACTACTCTAGGTAGCTCATATAAGTGGGCACATATGGTATGAGGGTACTTCAATTCACGAAAAAATGGAATTAAAGTATGAGTTCATTTTGGTACAAAAAAAAATTGAAATCATAGGTTTTTCAGAAAATTTATAAGCTCTAATACTTAACTCAGAATTTGGAAAACTCTCTCTTTCCTGGGCAGATTATCAAGAAACTAAAATGAACATTTTCAACACTGTACAGTATTTTGTAGTATTTCATACCAAACTGATGATAGATGACTGGTTGATCATAGGAGATGGCTAAATGTAGTCTACACAGAGCCCTGATTCTTGGAGATGGAAAGTGATATGAGTGTCATGGGGGATGGTTCTTCTAAGAAACAATGTTGGGGGCCAGCAGGAGGTGGACGATGCTGTGATGCTTCCCCATACAGGGAAGATCATGGGTTCACATTGCAGGACCTCCCTGAGCATGCTGGGTGTGTGTGAGTGTGTCTGTGACCCTGTCTCCATAGGACTGGAAGTGGGTTGCGGTGTGAAGACTTGCTGGGGTGCCTCTCTTTGCCTCTTTCATTGAAGAAATTTTTAAAAAATTTAAAAAAGGACACAATTTTGTTGGTGAAATAAATTATAGTGGGGCCAGCAGGTGGTGTGGTGGTTGAGGCACTGGACTCCCACATGGCTGGCTGTGGTTTGGGTACTGGACCTAGTGGCTTGCTTTTTCACTTTCCCTCTCTCTCTTTGTCTTTCTCAGATGAGCACATGTGTCCTATAGCAAACTGAAAATAAATAAATTAAATTAAATAAATAATTATACAAAAAAAGAATGTCATACAAAGCCAGTATTCTATTATTTTTATTCTTTAATCATATTTTTTAAAGGGATGCTTTTTTTTTGCATGAACTTAAGACCAAATTCCATCTCTTCTGATGTTTTTGGAGAAATTATAAGAATATGTATTTCAATGAAGAGAAGACAGAAATATTTTCCCAAATTGGTTGAAAACTTAACAACTTCCTACAACAGCTACCAATCCTAATCCTAAATCTTAATCTGATGGCATGCTTCTGCAGTATAGGTTACAAAGTATATGAACTGTCAAATGTAGTTTGAGGTCGAACACTGTGGTTCAAAACTGTACTCCTGAACAATATAAGATTATAATTCACTTTCAAATAGTCAGGGATTAGGTAGAATAAAAATAACATAGGGGATGACAGGATAGGGAGATGTAGCAGATACAAAATTATAGTCAGAGAAAAGGAATAATTTCTAGTGTTCTATAGCACAATAGGGTAACTATATTTAATAATGTACCAACACAAGTAATGATAATGAATATGCTAATTACATGTTTTATCATTACCCCATTATATCATTGTGTTCATATACTGAAAAATTACACTGTATCCTATAAATACGTACAATTATGAGTCTAATAGAGATAATAATAAAAATAACTAAAAAAATTATTTTAGTGAGACCAGTAGATGGCATAATGGTTAAACTGCTGGACTCCCACACAATTGATTATGGTTCTAGTTCTGGACCCTGCAGCTTAAAACTTACGGCAGGAGCGTATGCATACATGCCCAAGATCCCGAGAGGAGAATAGAGAAGAAGGGATTCCTGCATGGCCATCAACCCTGGGGAGTGATTTCTCACTTTCTGTCTCTCTGTCTCTGTGATGAGCACATATGTCCTATAGCAAAAATATCTCTTATAAAAAAAAATGAAGTATCAGAGGAGCATAGTCAAAAGGCTAAGTACTATTGTAGGCTGGGTAATTACAGTAACATTTTTCCCCTCAAATAGGGAAATTCAGTATTAATACCATATTTTTTAGCTTGTTAGTTTATTTATATATTTATTTATTTTTTGAGAGGTTTTGGCTATAGGGTGCATGTGCTCGCCAGAAAGACAGAGAGAGATAGAGACAGAAAGCGAGAAATCACCCCCAAGGGGAATGGTCATGCCGCAATCCCTTTTCCTCCATTCTCCTCTCAAGATCTTGGGCACACACACACATACACCTGGCGTGAGTTTTAATTAAGCCACCAGGTCCAGAACATGAACCGCAGTCAACTACATGGGAGTCCAGCGACATAGCCATTACGCTAACTGCTGGTCCTGTTGGCTTGTTAATTTTATCTTTAAAGGAGCTCTTAAAAGTTATGTTCAAGGTTTACTAAGAATTAAATATTTTGTTTGGTCTTCAAAAATCACTCTCCTTCCATATGTCTTAAAATCTAACTTGCCCAGGGACCAGCAGTTGGCGTAATGGCTATGTCGCTGGACTCCCATGTAACCCACCGCAGTTCAAATCCCAGACCCAGTGGCACACCCAGGCATGTGTGTGCCCAAGATCCCAAGAGGATAATGGAGGTGAAGGGATTGCAGCATGGCCATCCTCCCTAGGGGGTAATTTCTCACTTTCTATCTCTCTCTGTCTTTCTGGAGCGTGCACACGCTCTATAGCAAAAACCTCTCCAAAAAAAAAAAAAAAAAAATCTAACTTGCCCAACTAGAATGAGCATAAATGCAGTGGAAAGGTTAACGTAACACTTACCTGTCAAGACATCTTAGAATAATAGTCG